GTTCGTTGCCCAAATGTTCCACCGCCTTCAAAAAATTACGCTTATCCCGACACCCGTAACATGTTTCAGGTGGTAGGCGAAGGGAAGAACAGATTCAGCCTCATCCCGCCTAACGCAGGTTGGTCCATACTAGCGGGCAGGAAACGGTTAACCGTGATGTCACGGGGGGATTTCGGGGAGGGGGGTGGCGACATGGTGACGGGAGGATCCCATTGGCTGGAAAGGAGACGGCGGGTCCCAAGGGAGCAGAACCCCCGAAACGCAGTGCATTGTATATATTTAAAAAAAGAGAATTTGAAAAGCTAGTTTTTGAACAGTAACAAGCCGCCGGGAGCGCTTCACGTGTGCGCATGCTTTCGTGCGTTCAGGTGGGAGGAGCTTTGCCACCGCAGCGCCTATCAAAATGCAGGTGCACGCGGTTTTGGTCAGCATGCTGGTTCAAGGCGCGCTCCGCTGCGAAGGAGCCCCTTGGCACCAGCACTGCGCCGGATCTTTCAACCTTCGCTTGAAGCTGACCCATCAAACTCCGAACATAAAGATACAATGTATCAACAGCGCACATCAATGACGTTATGCATGTGCGCTCAACAAGTCCTTTCCGAAACACAAGATCATGTTATGGGAACACCGACGCTGCATTCATACAACGCAGGCAATTACCCTGCAAGGGTGACCCTGCATGTAATGCGCTTTAGGCATGCTAAGGTGGCCTTTCAACCTTTGTTATGTCATTTTAGCATGCCGGAAGCACTGATAAGTACTCCTTATAACAGTCACATATATGTATGTATGCATGCATGTATGTGGGTGTGTGTGATCTGAAGCTCCAAATACAACACAAGTTACACAGTAACAACGCAGTTGGTCAGTAAAGATGTCACCAACATAGACAGTAGCGCAGAGCATTTCCTTCCCCAGGAGGGCGATGTAGCGAGGTCGGGGGGTTAAAAGTTGAAAAGGCGACATTCTCAAAGTATTAAATTTCAGCAATAACGCCCCGGACCGCCAATGCCGCCCTCCGCCCAGAGGCAGGTCCCCCCCGCGGTCACAGCGCCGCAACGGTCGCCATTCAGCGGAAAGCATTGCACAAGCGCTGCGCCCCTGGCATCGCTCTCGCCGTGCCCGCTTTCCCAGCGCGTGTGCGGCGTGCGGAACACAACGCGTCGACCCGTCTCTCTCAGCCCCCCTCGCATGCCTGCAGAGAGTTTGTTTGCAAACTTTCCAAAACTCGGCATTTTCCATTTAACAGGCTTAACGAGGCTGCGGTAGGAAGTGGTTTTGTGCA